GCTTAAGAAAGGATTCAGAGCTTTATGGTGGGGAAGGCCTGGCAGCAGGAGTATGAGGCAGCTGGACAGGAAGTGTAGCCATGGTATAAAACCTCAAGGCCCACCCCAGTGACCCATTTCCTCCAGCAAGGCTAAAGGTTCCATCACCTAAAGGTTCCATGACCTTCCCAAACACCACCACCAGCTGGGAGCCAAGTGTTCTAACATACAAACCTATAGGGAAACATTTTACATTCAAACCACTGCAGATCTTGTCTTGATAAAAAAGGAAATAACAAAACAGATGAGGAAGAAATTACAAGTTAGCTGGGTTTGGTGGCACAGGCCTCTAATTCCAGCACTTGGGAGGCAGAAGCAGGCAGAGGATCTCTGTGAGTTCCAGGCCAGCTGGTGCTAAGACCAAAAAAAAAAACAACAACAGAGAAAGCCAGATGGTGGAAGAAAGGGAGAGAGCCATTCAAACATGTGGAGCTTCCAGGAAGAGGGAACTGCACATGCAAAGGCCTAGAGGTAGGAGCTTGCTATACAGGAGGAGGTCAGGTTGACTGCAGCAAAATTAACAGGTGACAGTAGAGGGGCCAGCTCCATCCAGTAGCTTTGGTTGGGTGTAGTTTTTCTAACCAGACACAGAAAAGATAGCACCCTATCTCTGTACACTGGCTCATAGCAACTCTCACTCACCAACCCACAGACTGTCCGTTGAGAGGACAGAGAGGCCCAGGATCTTCCAGGAAAAAATCTGACCAGAGACCCTGGCCTGGCTGACCAAGATCCTGAGCTAGCACGTAATAGCAGATGCCACACATCATCACAAGAATCCTCACCCGGCTCAGGTTTTATCAGCTCTTTCCTAATTGCCTTTGAGTCTTAAAATAAGCCCTATGGTTTTCACCACTTTCTAGTCTGGGCTGAAATAACTGGAACAGTGAATAGTCTTTGTTAGGTCTTTGCTAATGGGGTGGGGTCACCCCCTTTCTCTGAGTTTGTTTTCTTTCTTTCTTTCTTTCTTTCTTTCTTTCTTTCTTTCTTTCTTTCTTTCTTTCTTTCTTTCTTTTTCTTTCTTTTTTTCTTTCTTTCTTTCTTTCTTTCTTTCTTTCTTTCTTTCTTTCTTTCTTTTTTTTTTTCGCCTGCCTCTGCCTCCCGAGTGCTGGGATTAAAGGTGTATGCCACCATGCCTGAAATAGCCACTCCTAAATCCTGTGTCCAGCTCTGTTGCTGTGTGAGGAAAGGAACTAGTTACTACAGAAGGGCTCTTCCTCCTGTGGTAGTGGCCACATGTGGGACTTGGATGTATATCCTCTGATTTGTTCATTGGGTAAAATGGGGTTAATCTTGGCAGAGACCAGAGTTTAGTGTGACGTGTGTGTGTGTTTGTGTGTGTGCTTTATGTTGTGATAAAACACTGACCAAAAGTAACTTAGGGGAGTGTGGTGGTTTAAATGAAAAATGCCTCCCATAAGCACAGGTATTTGAATAGTTGGTGACATTGTTTGGGGAGGTTATGGAACCTTTAGAAGATATAGCCTTGCTGGAGGAAATACATCACTGGGGGCAGGCTTTGAGAGTTTATAGCCTCACCCCACTTCCAGTTCACTCTCTCAGCTTTTTGTGTATAGTTGAGGATATGCTCTCTCAGCTTCCTGATATGGCCCCTTCCTGCCATGCCTCCTCCATCATTAGAGACTCTCTCTGGAGCCAGAAGCTAAAATAAACTCTTTCTTCTATAAGTTGTGATTGGTCATGGTATTTTTATCACAGCAACTCTTTCTTCTATAAGTTGTGATTGGTCATGGTATTTTTATCACAGGGAGAAAAGGATTTATTTGGTTTAGACTTCCAGGTCACAATCCATCATTGAGGAAAATCAGGGCAGGAACTCAATTCAAGCAGCTAGTTTTCTGAAGTAGTCCAGACCTACCTTCCTAGGGATGGTGCTGACCCCAGTGGGCTGGGCCCTTCCACGTCAACCATCAATCAAGACAGTCTCTTACAGACATGGCCATAGGCCAATCTAATCTGGAAAATTTCTCAGTTGAAGTTCCTTCCATCTTCTCAGGTGACTCTAGGTTGTGTCAAGTTGACAATAAAAACTAAACAGCACAGGTACTATCTTAGACCATTGGGCTACTGCCACAGAGTCCCATGGACCAGGAGCTTATCAACAGTGAATGCTCACGTCTCATAGTTCTGGTCATTGAGAAGGCCAAGGTCAAGATACTGGAAGATTTGACATCTGGTGAAGGTCTGCTTCCTGGTCAGACTATCTGTATTGGCTATCTGTATTGTCACTTAGGTAAGAGGCAAGGGAATTATTTGGGGTCTTGTCTTGGTTAACCTTCAGTTGTCAACTTGACACACCTGGGAAGAGAGACCCTCAGTTGTGGCATTTTCTCCATCAGATTGGCCAGTGATCAAATGAATACATTTGAGAGATTATTTAGATTAGGTTAGCCTCTGGGCATGTCTGTGAGGGATTATCTTGATTAGGCCTGTGTGAGCCCCTTCCTTTCCTATGACAAAATGTTGACAGGCCCAGTCCTGTGCAGGTGATCATAGCTGCTGAGAGTGATATGTAAATCTTTACTAAGGAATGTTCATTTGCTCCGGCTGCTATTACCAAACACCCTACACAGTGCAGCTTACAGACAATGGAATTTACTGTTCATAATTCTGGTGTCCAGTGAGGGCTTACTTCCTGGGTCATAGGTGGCCAACTTCTCTGTGTCCTCATGTGGAAAAGAGTGAGAAGTGAGAGCTCTGTGAGGTGGTTATTTGAAAAATGTATAATTTGAAAATGTTTTAGATTTGTGGTGTGTATGTGTATCTATGCAGACGTGTGCATTCCTATGTCTGCTCCTGTTTGTAGATCACATGTATGTATGGAGGCCAGAAGGTATTCCTTTTTCAGGCACCATCCATCTTGACACAGGGGTCTCTCACTGACTGTAAACTCCAGGGATCCACCTATCTCCATCTTCCCAGTGCTGGGATTTCAAGTGGGTACCAATATGCCCAGTTTTTTTTGCCAGTGTTCTGGGGATTGGACTCAGGCCTTCATGCTTGCCAGGATAGCACTTTACCAACTGAATTATCTCTCCAGGTCCTGAAAATGTTTGGGATTTATAGAAAAGTTGTGACTAAATGCTGAGGGTCTCCACAGCAGTCCTTCCATCCACTTTTCCATGTTAGTATCTCACAACCCTGTATGTTTGTCCCCATGATGGAATCCTAACAGGATGGACAAAGCTATCGACTCAGTTTTGACTCCCCAGTTTTCCCATTGACAAGCTCTTTATGTCCCTGAATCTGGCCCAGGACACCATGCTGTACTGAGTCATTGCACCTCCTTAGTCTTCTGTCAGTGACAGTTTCTGCATCCATCCTTGTCTCTCATGACCTTGACACTTGTAAGGAAGGAGTGGTGCTCAGGTGCTTTGTAAACTTTCCCTTGGTTTGGGTTTATTTGATGGGTTTCAAAATTAAGTGGAGGTCATGGATTTGGGGGCAGGTCATGATGGAGACACAGTGATCTTGTCCCATCCCCTCATAGGGCATATGGCATCAGCACAGTTTAATGTGGGGTTGTTAAACCTCAATCACCTGACTAGGTGGCTTTTTTCCTGTAATGTTCATATTTTTCCTTTTCTTTAATGTTACTGCATTTTAATGTTATTCATTTTGTGTGTGCATGTGCATGTGCAGGGGTGTGTGTGTGTGTGTGTGTGTGTGTGTGTGTGCATGCACGTGCACGTGTGTTGTGTGTATGTGTGGGTGTAAAAGTGCCACAGTCCTAGAGGTCTCAGAACAACTTGGTCAGAGTCAGTTCTCTCCTTCAACCATGTGGGTCCTGAGGATTGAACTCATGTTGTCTGACTTGGTGGCCCCTATTTTCCTTTTTCTGTACTGTATTTGTTAGTTTTGAGGTGCCAGGTCCAGCCCAGGCTCAAGGGAAGCTGGTGGTCTGGGGGTGACTGCTTTCCACTTCCTTGAAGAAAGTAGCAAAGAATTTGTGAGCACACTGTCAAACCCACCACTGCCATTGGTGAAGTTTGGGGGGTTGGGGAGATGCTATCACACTGAATAGATAACCTGAGTCCAGAGAAGTGATTTTCTAAATGATTTTGTTCAGTTTCAAGCCTTGTGAACCAGGGTGTCTCCTTCTTCCCTGCGTCTGTCATTAGGTTAGCGAATTTATTAATAAAATGCTTAAGGAGGATCCTATTTCTCTGCGGATACCTGCTGCCGCTGTGTCAGATTTCTGCTGGTGGTTGCATTTTAATCCTGGAGAACCTGGAGGCTGCCTCAGGGGAGTGAACGTGGGAGCTCAAAGGAGATCTCAGAGGGCCTAATGTCAGGAGATAGAGGTGCCAGCTTTGCACATGTGACTCACCGATTTGCTTGCAAACGTTAATGTAATGACTTACAGAAGTGTTAAGATCACGTCAACAGCGGACTCTATTTTTAGATGCCATTTTCCCACCCTGAAGACTATCTTTGAGATCTCAGTTGTGTGAATGAAGAAAGCATACAGTTTTAAGTAGCTCTGGCCAGGCCTGATCTGGTGGCTAATTCAGATGGTGCAGTGAGAAAGGGAATTCTTGGCCAATCAGCTGCTTTGTGAATTATCTGTGGGAAACTGCTTAGACACCATTCTTAGTTTTATGACCACCACTGCTGTCGATCAACGATTGCCACTCATTTTAGAAGAATAACAGGAAGGTAAATCTAAAGGTAAAATACATAATGGCTTTATAAATAAATAAACAAATAAACAAACAAACAAACAAACAAATAAATAAATCTGGATATCTGTTTCAATTGTCTTTTCTCAATCCCAGTCACCCAGGTAAAGGAAAGCCTGCAGTGTGCCCCCACCTGCTGGCACCATACCTCACTGATGATTTGTGCTTTGAACAAAGCTGGTCCTTAAGACCAGTGGTTTACAAATGACTTGCTCTCATAGGAGGTGACATGTTGAAATGTGGAATGTTCTCTCCTAGGATGATTTCCTGTTCAGTGTCTCCATTTTAAGTGGGATCCTTTGCAGCGTCCTGGCTGTATTGAAATTTATGCTGGGAAAGGTCCTGACAAGCAGAGCACTCATTACAGATGGTGAGTAAGGCCTGGACACTGTTTGCTGCTTGTATTGCAAGAGATCTCAACAACTGGGACCCATGTGTCCGCATTCCTCCTAACCAAGTGCTGGCTTAGTGATTCTCAGGGCTCCTGTACCAAGGCAGGTGTCTTTTACCCCAAATTTAATAAACTCGCTGTGAACTTGCTCTATCCTGACACTCTCACAGAGGCTCAGGATTCCCATACTTCTAGTGGCAAAGAACAAAGCACTTCCTAGAGCTTAAGGTGTTTTTTTTTTTCCCTTGCCTTGCCTTGCCTTGCCTTGCCTTCCCTCCCC